TATAATTATATATAAAATATTTTTTCCCTGGTTTGAATAATAATTATCTTAGAAATAAGATAAAATATATAATTTTGATTTGGATCTTAACGAATGCCATTGCAATTAAATTTTACCTTTCTTCCTGCGTAAGGTTTGAAGACATTAGTTCCTCTATCTTGCACCAATGTTCCTGCGGTACCAGGGTAAGGAAGAACTGCGAGAAGTACAGGGTGGCATATGCCATGCTGTAGGGAAGCAAGGCCAATAGAAGCAGCCATTGATATCTACCAAAGTCACCGACGTATGGCAAGATGTCATCGAAGGTCTCCAACTTTGACCTTGTCAACGTGACACTTTCATTCGGATCTGCGGTATCTATGGGGTTCTTCACGCCGTTCTTCATCGTCCTGAGGGATGTTAAGATTTGATACGCTAAGTTTACACTTGACGATTCAAGTTGAAGAAGGAAAAGAAAAAAACGAACTCAATAAACTGAAAGAAAAGAAATTGTTTAATTGTTTGGAATATTTTAATCTTAAATTATATAGAAGCTCAATTTAAAAGATATATAGAAAGAGAAAAATAATGTAAACTAACTGTAATTATACAAAATCGAAGCTAGATCATGTATATCTTTTTTAACACGCAAGAAAATTGCAATATTTATTTTGCGATGAAAGAAACTCTTGCTAACATAGTTTAATGTTTGCTCTATAACATTATAAGTGATAAGTTGCGTTATTTAAGTAAATCGAGCAAACATCCGATAAAAGTACGCGGATTCTATCAATTGCTTTTATTACAACCGACTTAGGGTACAGTGCAAAGTCCATGCAGTATATATCCTCGTAGAGATGTCAAACGACTTGAGTTGAAGCGATCTGAGCAGCTAGTGTTGTCCGAACGTGATGGGATCAAATGGCTTGTTAGACACGCGTCTTGATCGAGATAATAATGAAGATCAAGCACGAGTTTGACGATCTGATGCGAGATTAATGATGCTTTTATACCTACTTAATATGATAATGATAATGCAGATAATATTAGATATTACATAGACAATTATATTAGACATTGTATCAAAGAAAATGTTGAAAATACATAATAGCGTTAAAAATTTTTGGAACGTACCTGCTAAATTAAGAACTTTGCTATATTTTATTATATTTTTAAATTCTAAATTCCTTGTTAATTGCAAATAACAGTAATATTTAAATGATTTCTGGATGCTTAATGTTATTCTACTATTTATTCTCGCGCTGCAAGCAAATTATAAATAGCTTATATTATGAAATCAAAACAACCTTATATAACTCGATATATTACGTACTTTATTTTTTCAAGAAACTAATGGCTGAAATTTCTGTTCGTGGACAGTGTCAACGTCATTACTTTTTATTCTTGAGAATCGAAAACATCGGGTCCGTGACTCTTGGCGATTGTGTGTATCTGCGGCAAGCGCCCCAAAGAAATAGTGACGTTCAGAATCGACGAGATATCAAAAGTTATGGTTAAGGGTCAATGATAACGTAAATATTGTAGCGACCGACCAGTAGGCCGACATCGGCCTGATAATGTAACGAAAATAATTTTTAAGAAGATTAGATCGTGGCCAGATTGCTACATCAGCAAATTGCTAATCAGTTGATTTTTTAATAGAACAGGCGATTAGGTCGTTAACCCAATCATCTACCCGTCGCCATTGATTAACATTTGGTCGCCAAGATAATATATAAGTAATAAGAATAATAATCATATAAGAATAAGGGTCTTAGGCCCGGTTGTGTGCACCAACGTTATTTTAATTTTAAGCGAGGCTTAAAACTCTCTTTGTTCCTGTCTCTTTTCGGTTTTAAAACGAGAGATAGAAAGAGTTTAAGTCTCGCTCAAAGTAACGTTGGTGCAACCGGGCCTTAGATTTATAAATCTAATATAATATTTTTCACATGTACGTAATTATGTGTATAAGCATCGATTTCGAATATAATGCAGAATTCAACGCGCGTGTAAATATTTGTAAAATACTTACAATTGCAAATGTTTTCCGGCTGACTGTTCTAATAAAAGTTAAACGAGTTTCGGTAATACTGTTGTAAAAGAATTTTGTGGCTGCAATTATGTAACCATTAGCTACTTATGTTTTATCAAAGTAAACGTTTTTTGACGTAAAAAAAGTATCGTCATGACTCATGACTATATTTATTAATGCGATGAACATCATGCATGTTAAATACTCTCCACGAAGTTGGTTACTAATATTCAATCGATGATTCTGTGTCTTAAGATTGTCTAAACTTCATTTTAAACGTAAAATTGGATAAATAATAAGGGTGTCTTTAAAAAATCCTAGTCTTCGTATTTACATTTTTTACGATACCTTTAATTGTAGTTATTGCAGATTTATAGCGCTCAAATTTTCATATTTTTCCTTCCTCTCCTCCTTTTTCTCCTATTTCTTAGAGAAAGCTTAAAATCTTTCAATATTGACGCATATCTGTGTCTCTTACTCATCTCTACTCATCTTTAAATCGAAATAGTTTCTATGCTGTTTGAACTCTTGTAAATTTTCAAGTTTTAGAAAGTTGCATATTCAAGAACTAATTGCACACAAATATTGTATTAAAACCGTTAATACTTACGCTTTTAATCTTTCGTTGCACTATTTATTCGTTTCTCATGTATATTCAATTTTTAATTTATGTCGAATTTTATGATTTATTACACTTGAGGTTCCACGTTGTAGAAGAAATAACGTTGCAAGGAAGAATTGTCGATATATAAATGCTACAAAACCACTAAATTATTGCAAATTGACTATAAATGCTGATAATTTGCAATTATCAACAATTGTAAATGTAACGATAATTGTAAATATGAAATGTCATTCCACTAAGTGATTTTTAACGTCTATAGTTACCACCTGCGGTGGTATTTTTACGATCGATGTGGTTAAATGACGACAGTAATGACGAGGCTTTCACGCGAAGCAGAACTCGCTGTCTGAAAAGGAAACCCGATTGAATACTGTTGATATAAGAGCTCGGCATGTGATATATTATACGTAACGCTTATGTGCTTGTGTAGCGAGAATCACAAAGCAGTAAGAGAGGACAATGACAAAGATCGATCATCGCCGCGTGAGGATAAGGAGAGATAGACGCGCGAATTTGTCCATTTCTGTACCAATGTAAATTAACTTCATCTCAGTTTAATATATCATCAAGTGTCAATCAATTTTTCAAATTACGTGATTTAAAAAATCATGCGTACTGATTTGGAACAACGTTACGCGATTTACTTGTCTTAATTATATGATTTTTGTTATGTAACTTCGAGACGTGATTTTTTTCAGTAGAGAATATCTCTGAAAGCCTCAATAATATTACAAAAAGTAAGTATTAATTCTGAATACCCACATTTAAAAAAAGTCTCTATCTACATCAGGGTATTTGTAACTCAGTGTTTTCTTTTTCTTTTATCTCAGATTGTAGTGCATCGATTTTAACTAATTTTTTTTTTAATCTATCGTTTGAAGGCTAAAAAAAGAATTTTTGAGTTAGAAAGTCTAAAATGTCGTAGCACAAAAGATATTTTGCAATAAATGAAAAGGGATCAGGAAAAAAACGATTTTTTTTCCTAAAGCTCATCTTTTTGTCAAAAATAAATGAAAAAAGATTTTATTAGTGACGAATCAACAGCTAAGGAACTTTAAGAAATTAAAAGCGCTTTTGCGATTTGTTATAAAAGCGATATTTTTTTGCAAAGTGAAAATAAGTGATTTTATTATACTCTTTTACTCAACTTCTTCATCTATTACTTCATTTTTACTTCTTCCGCCTCTTTTACTCGAGATCTTGTTCCTAACATGAATTCTGATGAAAAAAAAAAATATACAAAAACATGAATAATTAAAAAAATATTTATAGTTTTTTATTAAAAAAAACTCACCACTTTGTCCAAAAAGCTCTATTTGGCATCAATGCACGAAGCGCACGAAGTCAGTCTTTTTTTTTGATATTAAGAACACAATAAAATTTACTTAAATCATTTTTTTATGAGATGTGCACTCATGATTAAAATCATAAATAATCAAATTAATCATTTCTACTTACATTTCAACTTTGCAGTAAGTCCGGATTTTCTGACGTCTTACCCACAAGAGGTCAGGGCAACCCCGACACGCACTTTACTCCGTACAACTATGTAGCTAATGGCGCATTAGAAAGTCACCAAGCAAGGGAATTGTAGATGTAGTACATAAGTTTTTCCCTCTCCAGCCTCGGCACTGCTCAAAGCGTGTTCGAATATCTGAACCATGAAAATCGGGGGGAGGGGGGTTACGCTCAGTACCCTTTGTGGGTACTGAGGGTTAAACTAAGATCAAAGTTAATCTACATTGGTAGAAGTGGAGATCAGACAAATTCTCATGCTTCTCAAATTTCATTGTTATTAGTTAAGATTTTGAAGAGAAGACATTTTCAAAATTCGAAGAGAAAAGCTCGAAACACCATTTTCTTCAGACATTTGTGAATTGGATTAAAAATCCAGATATCTTCATGTAGACGTCGATTTTCGATCGATTCACGATCTAGTGTTCCATATCTAAATACGAAAAAATCATGTTATCTTGAATTTTGCGTAAGAAAGAATCTCATTGGAAAATATTTCGCTGGAAAAACATCATCGATCTGTATGGATATAAAGACGTGCAAGAAATGAAAACTTCTCCTGTTGTGAAAGATTTGTTGCAAAATAATTTTGTGGCTGCAATAATATGATCGTTAGCTAGTTATGTTTTATCAAAATAAACGCTTTTTAAGTAAATAAAGTGTCGTCATAACTATATTTACAAATACGTGCGCGATGAACATCATACATGTTAAATGCTTTCCAAGTTGATTACTAATATTTGATCGATGATTCTGATTTCGTGATTTTGACGTATGTATGTATAATATAATTCCTTACAAATGTAGCGTTCCATTACACGTCTCGTACAACAAACTCGAACTTTTTTCTTGTTAACCACGCGGCATAAAAGATTCATTCGTAATAGGATTCGTTCAACACACTCGTCAGTGTATACATAGAAAATATACATAGAACTTGCGTTCTCCCCGAGGTGAAATTGTATGTAAATTTGCTATTCTGGCACTGAGGAGAAAAATCGATACAGCCTTGGCAATATACACGCGAATGAAACTTTCATCCGCGACAACAATCAAAATTTGCTATCAGTGATGAATCTGTATTTCCTAGAACTTGAAGCTAATATCCTTGGGAAGTGATTCTTTAAAAAGAAGAGTTAGTTTTCAAATTTATGTTCCGTCGAGAAAAATGATTTAACACTTGACGTTCCAAACAAAACATGAACATGTAAAGTAGAGGAAAGCCTCCTATTATGAGATAGGCGCCTAATATGAGATAGCGACGTTTCTGCTAAACTAATAAACGCTATCTATTGGTTCCACCATGAATTTATTGTTGGATTGAAAATTTTTTAGTAGAAAATTCATTATTAGATCATGCCTGTAGTCATTGTAAAACAAGATTTTAGAATTTGGATGTCTTCAAGTTTGAGATGAGCCTTTAAATCTTGTTTATTATTTAATAAATAAATATTTGGCAATAAATTCTTCATGTAGTGATAAAGTAAGGTCATACTAATAGAAAAATACGGGATATGTTGAATTGTTTAATTACAGAAGTTAGATTTGATGATCGTAAAATCATAAGGCATGCAAATCGTAATATGAGATACCCAGGGTATTTCTAATATGAAATAACCCATGCTTCTATATTATAGTGAAAATCGTTGCTAAAGTATAAATGTTATTGTACAATAATAAAAAAGACAACCGGAATGAACGTCGAGTGCCTATTTCTGCGATGCTTGATTTCAATTACCTGAAGACGAGTTCTGAGTACAATCATGCTCACTTTTCGTGCACGCTGGCTGTGTTTGTTTGTATTTTAGAAACATGAAATAAAGTTTTTTAATTGCAATACTGATATACTTTGCGTTTTACTATCGATTTCTCGGGGCATCTCATACTCGTATTAAGAGCACAATTTTTTTACTTTGCGATTTACTCATTTTTTACATTTCTTTAATTAAAAAAATGGAATTTGAATTAAATTTTATATAACGTTATCTTAAAGCTTATTAAATTCCCTTCAAAATGATCTATTATTTTTTTAAATTCTGCCAATAGACTTCTAGCATTTACCTAAAATGAACTCGGTATCTCATAATAAGGACCTATATATTACAAAGGAATAACTTTTCCCTAATTGAAGGAATTAAGGCTCCTGAGTAGTAATCACAACCATATCGAATCGTGACGTTAGAAA